TTCATGTAGGAGTGATACTCCATTCTTCCCCTTTCATCTTGTCCTGCAGGCAACTTGCCGGCGTTGCTACAGGGGCAACCTGGTCTCTGTCCACAGCCACAACTTTAATTTACAAGTCCAGTCCACACTCATCACCTTCAACCAGGGCTATGTCTGGATTGGAGGTGTGGGCACACGCAAGGTAAGCTCTACGTGGGACAGGGGCACTCCTGACCCAGAAAGCGCTGAGCTTGCTGCAGATTTATCTGTATTTCACCTCTATGACCCCCTGCTGAACTGGGGATAGAGAAACACATGAGTGAGATGCTGAGGGGCTGCATAGCATTGGGAAGAACCATAGATTTGGCTCGGTGCCTGTGGCTCAAGCGGCTAAGGCACGAGCCACATACACCTAAGGTGGTGGGTTCGAATCTCCAGCCCCGGCCCGCCATACAACCAAAAAATGGCCAGGCGTTGTGCCGGACGCCTGTAGTCCCAGCTACGTGGCAGGCTAAGGCAGGAGACTCGCTTAACCCAGGAGTTGGAGGTTGCTGTGAGCTTAATGCCATGGCACTCTACCCAGGGGGATAGCTTGAGGCTCTGTCTCAAAAAAAAAAACAACCAAGGATTTAGAAGCAAGAGGTTTGGGTCCCAGTCCCTCTCTGCCTCCATCCGTGTAACTTGGGCAAACCATGGGCTGTTCCCTCCTCTCTAGGATGGGTTGGTAGCCCCTGCCCTACCTCTCGTTAGGACAGGAAGGATGAGTATGTCAGTGAGAGGCAAAGAATGTGACGGTCATGATCACAAGGGGTCAATATTTTAAAAGATCAGGACAGTGTCCAGCATAGTCCTGTAGGCAAGGACTCTCTGGAGGAGCTGGTGTGGACAGGGCCAGTTCCACCTCTTCCCTTTGCCCCCTGCCGAGCCCACCTCTTTCCCTCCTGCCTACCTCAGGGCCCCTCGATAAGGATGAGCTGGGTTGACCAAAGCCGCTGGAATTTTTCATACTGGGCTTGGGGCCAGCCCTCGATCTCCAATGGTAGATGTGTGACCATGCATTCCGGAGGTAAGGCACAGCTAAGGATGAATGGTGAGAAGGTCCCAGGGAGGAGGCACGAGGAAGAACGTGACCCTATTCGGGAGAAGTTCCTTAGGTCTTTAGACTCCACACTGAGGTGTGGAGATGGGTGAAGGAAAGACCCTGGAGGATAACTTGGCGGGGGAGGGGGTGCAGGGAGGGAGACAAGAGGCTGATTGTTCCATCTGGTTCCACCTTTGCAGGAGGCCGCTGGTTTCTAGCCAACTGCAACTTGTGCCTCCCCTTCGTCTGTTCCTACTGAGCTGGCTCCAGACTTCAGACCCACCACCTCTTGGGCAGCGGCCTCCCTTCCCCTGCCTGCTGCCCCTCCCTCCAC